TCTGTGCAGAATTTATATCCTTTGGCTTGAACTGACAGCACGAGCTAAGGGCTCTCAGAGAAGAATGTCAAGATATGCCTGCTTGTTTTGGGTAGCCTTGGGCCAAAAGTGTGGATATGTGCACTAGCCTGAAAGTAGGTGTCTAATATTATACAGTCTGGAATAAACCAGTCTCATGCTTTTCTGTGTTCTGAACTGCTTAGTCAACTCCTTCCACTTTTTAAAAAATTTTCTTTGTTCTTGAAAGAATACAGGAAAGAAGATTTCCTAAAAATAATGCATCTAGCAAACAGAAATGAGCATATTTGTCATGAAATAATCTTTGTGTATGATTTTTTTTGCAGTTTAACAGGATGGAGGGTCTTTGAGGGGCTTGCTCTGTTTAATTTCACTTACTACATCTTTATTCATCCGTAGTTGCACTGTCTTAACTAGATGTGTTTCTAATTAACAACGAATTGCTAACTGAACAAGGTTTTATCTGATGTGAACGGGGTCATTCACTGTTTGGGAGTGTTTTCAAAATAAGAAATGGCCTAACTCTGCTATCTAACAGCAAATCCCTACTGCAGATCTAGAAAGAAATGAAATAATGCTCTGCCATAATATGTGAATAAGTGGTATGACTTTCTGTGAGTTCTGAAGTTTGATGCTTCAAAAAATCTTTATCTCCCTTCTAGAGAGAAATCTAATTGTATTTATGTAATTGATATAGGTATAGGATATAGGTTGTAGCAGGATAGTGTTCTCAAGAAAGAACTATTTGTTTTATCTTATATTTCTCACTTTAAATAAACCACAAAAGAGCCTTTTTACAATATTCTAAGTATTTGTGCTATCACAAAAAGCACTGACTGTCCACATTTAAATATCCTTTTGAGAAAATTCTATACAATAATATGCTACTATGTTATGACAGTTGGTTTCATCAGCTATAGTAGAAAATCGTCTTCTAAAATCTGCTTGGATGCAGTCCTGTGCCACGTGCTCTAGGTGACCCTGCGTGTGCAGGGGGTTGGACTAGATGATCTCTAGGGGTCCCTTCCAACCTTAAGCATTCTATGATTCTGTGAAAATTCCAATAATAAAAATGTATTTATTCATTTTCAATATATTTAATCCGCTGCTGTTTCATAGGCAGATGTGTGCATTATAGCAATACCTGTCTAGCCCTGCATTGTTTAGAAGTGGTTTTTCTCTTTCAAAAACCTACATTTCTGTACATCATTTTATTTGAAAATTTGTTTTGAAATAATTATGTTGCATTAATAAATCTCTCTCTTAGGGGATTGATACCCTTCTTAGTAGCACTGCGTTTCACTACCCTCTTTTCATTGGATGTTAATCTTAAATTGAAAATTAAAGATTAAAGATATGTCGGGAATTGGCAAGAATTCTGAATCATACTGAGCTTGACATGGTTTGACTTGATCACAGGCCCTGATATTGTCAGTGTTCTTAGGAATACATAAATCATTAAAACAAAAACAAAATATAAGGAAATGTTAGCCAGGCAATCTCAGAACGATAAGCAAATCCAGAAATACCACTGTGGCTAAACAAAGCATTGTTAATTCCTTTGCAGATGATTGAAGAACCAATTTTCCACTCATACCTAGTTGCCTTGGCTGCTGTAATAGCTGCTGGGGTGGTGAAAGTGAAGTGCAGACCCCAGCTCTTGCTGTGCATCTTCCGCGCTAGAAAATCCCACATTGGAGGGTCTGCAAGAAAATATGTACTTCACAAAATAGTCGTTTATGCATATAAGTAATATCTGCAGTGTGTGAAAAATAAGACAGGGGTAGCGTGAAGAGGTAAATTGTATTACAGCTTCTTGGCAGTTAAGGATTGGAGCTATATTAAATAGTTTAGTAGATCTTATTTTTAACTCAGATGTCCCTGACTCCATAGTTCTATTGTGATTAGTTTAATTTGTTAGAGCACTGCATCAAATGGATGAATTCAGCTGAAATTGATTTTGGACTTTGAGATGGTTTCTGTCTTTCCTATTTCATACAGTAAATAAACATTTAAAGGAAGGAAAGAGTAAACAAGAAAAAGATGCTAAAAAAGTTCAGTTACGTTGTAACTAACCTGGGACAGTAACTCGCAGAGAACTGATGTAAAGGACTTCGTGACTGAGTCCTTTATCTTGTAAGCTGTGATTTGCATGCTTTGTTGTTAGACATTCTACGTTGGTAGCAGTTTATAGGTATTGCTACAGATAATCACAGGAAAATATTTTATGCTAGTGCTTTTCAGATGAAATTCACTCGTTTGCCAGAGCACATACTTCTGTATGGAAGACTTGCTTTCTGGAGCTAAAGATTTTGATTTTGTTCAATCATCAAAATCTGTACTTGTGGAATCTCAACAGATGAGGTATATTTAATATTCGCAAATTTCCCATGAACAGATTTCCTTCAAATTTTGTGGTTTGCAGTTTTTCACCAAATGCTTTCTTGGTCTTCAGATTTTGTGCTCTTGATCCCCTGTGGGAATTTGGTGTGTGTTATTAAATGTGGGAGAGCTGGGTCATGGTTTTGGTCACTGATGTCATTTCAGTAACGCAAATAACTGCCCCAGGTGGGACTGACACTAACAACAGTTGTGCTACAGGATGCTTGTGTAGACTGCTGGTGATTCTTGTGTCCTGTTGCAGCACCCTTGGAGATACCCGTGTGAGCCGATCTGCTGACTGCACGTACTGTTCGCCTCTGGAGTGGCGAAAGGAGGGAATGAAGGCTGAGACATTGTGGACATGTCACTGGAGGGGCAAAGGAAAAGTCTTTGTGCTGATCCCCCTGCTGCTGAGCTGAAGCCAGAGCCTGAGGTGTCCTCCCTGCCGCGCTGCTGGATGTGGAGCCGCCCAGGCAGTGTCACCACGTGGCTCTGCAGGAGATGCTGTTTGTTGGAGGAGGTCACCCCAGGTAGGAAACGCTCTCCTGTTCACATCCTGTTCCAGTTTCTCTGCGCTACCCGTGGGAGTAGTGTGTTGAAACTTGTACTTGGGAAACTGAAAACGAAGGAACAGCATGTTTCTTAGGACACTGTTAAGCTCAGGCACAGATGTCCTGCATCTTCAGCAAAAAAAATGGAGGTAAATCCCTTTTGCCTGGAATTATTTGAATTCAGGGAATACGGGGATGACTTGCAGTGTCTACATTTTTTTTTTTTTTTTTTGGTACAGCTGATTATCTGATGTGTAGGAGATGAAGGTAGCAAGAAGTTGTGGAACATGGGAACAAATTTATGAAATACAGGAAAGGCTTGGTAGTGCTGTTCCCCATTCTGGGTTTCCCTCTGAAGAGGTAATGGAATTCTAAGGTAGCTGCTTGAAAATAAGCAACTTACCTTTCCTATAAATAGGAACTCTGCAAATTTTATCTGTGGAGGAGG